ATATGGAGCTTGAGTGGGAGTGACATTATATGGTTTGTTTAAAAATTCTAGGAAATATTTCAGCTACCCACTTGTCCTGGCGCGGCGCGGCGGGCTAACAAAGAGCCCACATATAACTTGAAAACGACCAAATAAATATCTTCCGCTTTAAAGCGCCCATTGTTTCACCGCAGATACATTTAAATCGGCCATTCAACCCAGCTGAAAGAGGGACGGTGGACTTCCGTGCAGGGGGGTGGGGGGAAACAGCGTGAAATCCAATTCGTTGTGTGCAGTAAATGTGAAACTCTGGTCAGCACTGCCAGCATGCGCTCAACTTTCCTCCCAAGTTAGCAGCTGCAAAGCATCGGCCGAGATCAAAGGAAACACTGTTACAGCTCAGTAATAACGCGCGCGCGCGCTGTGGTGCGGCTGGATCTTACCTCGGTGGGAAAGGCAGCGATCCCGACTCCTTTCTTTATCTCGGCTACAACTTCCACCCGTCGTCGGGTTTGTGTTTGAAGTTGTGGCACACTTCAGGCGAGTCCGCTTCCCGACTTTAAAGCTGTATCACACCCTAAACTCGCGGGAGACGGTTCAGCCATCTGTTTGTCTTCACACTCTTGGGTTTGTGCCCGAAACAAAACAATTTTTGGAAAGTTAGCCGCTCGCTGTTTTCTGTGGGTGAAGCCAAGCAGCGTGCCGGAGAGCGACGAGCTGAGCGCAGAGAGAAAGAGTCGAAGCAGCAGCGGTGGTGTTTCCTCTGGCTCCTCCCACTCCTGCTCCCGCCGGCCAATGGGCTCAAGCATCAGCGCAAAGCTTTCCTTTATTCTCCAGCCAACCTGGATCAGTGTCCGTCATTATATTCAGAAACCATCGCCATGAATCACCCGAAACACCTGTCACTGTATGTTTCACCTGCCTGCTTTGTTCTCGCCTTTCCTCCATTTCAGCGCTATCAATGAACGCCAAGCAGCCTGTGTTTGTAAAGGATTTAGCGGAACAACACAATGGAAAAGGGGAGTCTGTGAAAAAAGACGACATAACGATAGACAGAAAAACTATCCAGGACGGCATCGATGCTGGGTGTAAATGCGCACAGGGTTAAAACTGCACGTGTAATACAGGCCGATGTTTAAGAAAGGTTTTCCTGAAAGCTGTTGCTGCTGAGATTTTTACACGTTGATGTCACAAAACAGTCTAAAGATCACTTAAAATGACCTTCATTTCACAGACCAGTCTGCTCACCCAGCTCTGAGTCAAATGTGACCGAGATGAACAGCATAAACATAATTTCATGAAATAACTATTGTTACTAGAAAAAAAATCAACGCATTGATTGTGAAAAACAGCGGTGTGAAGTTGTAAATAACTAACCACGATTTTTAACTGAATGAAAGGTAAAAAAGTTACATGGAGCTTACATCATATAAGATTGAATAATCTGCTCTCTAGAAGGTTTTCAGAAAGTCACAGGTCCATCCAGCACACCCATCCCCACCCACAGATAGTCCAGAAACCACACAAACATTTTGCTTAAATTACTGAGATTTTTTCAGATTGTTTTCCAACTCGGTCAGCTATTGCATTATTTTGCACCATTTTTATAACACAGAGGTCTCAGTGTTGCACAACTCTTCCATAATGCTCACAAGAATAAACATTGTGGCAGTAAATCCCAAAATTTTTGATTATTTTTGAAAACCACAAAAATAGCTACCATGTAGATAACAGAGCCTATTCCATGCAGTGGGATGGGCTGCAGCAGCCCCCTCGTGAAGCCGAATAGGATAAGTGGGAGAAAATGGACAGATCAACTGTGTACATTTTAATTTTGGAATGTAAACTATCCACAGGTTGACAAAGAATTAAAAAATTAATGATTAGAGTAAGAAAACTGCATACTGAAGTTCTTAAAGGATTTTTGCACATCATACAAGACGGCCAATCAGTAAAATATCTGGAACAACAGTCTTAGTGATCATATGATTGCAGGTTGAGCGCTGTGAGATTGTTTCTTCAGCTGAATTCTTGGCATTTTCTGCAGGAATTAAGCACTCGTGAGGTTTGCAACAATTCATAAAGAATGCGCCTCGGATCCAAGCAGCCTCTCAGGACGAGAAGCAGGTCAGTGAGGAGTCGTCTAAGTCAAGCCCGCTTGTACTTGTCTGCAACTCAAAGTTTTAGAAAAGACACTAAAGTGAGAAAATGTAACAATTATGCGCCAGCCTTTGCTGGGACATGCCCTGACATGTGTGACTGATGATGTGAACAATTTATTCTGTTAAGGTGTGTCAATTTCAAGGCTCTCACGTTGTTCCAGTGGGTGAATTTAAATGGATTTGAATTTCTGCTAATGTTATTAGTGATTGTCGTGCTTTGACAGGCCACAGTGTCTGCTGTGGAAAAGCGTAATAGAAGTCGGCAGAGAAAACCTCATGGATTTAAACAACACTGGTTTGTTTGTGCACCGAGACGACTGAAGTCCACCAGAGTGGGTGCCACACATCTCGGGTTTCCTCTGCCTCTCTTCCTGTTTTGAACTCCTTCTTAGTGTCGCTCAGCAGCTGCTTTTGAAGATTACAAACTGCTGCTGCTGCTTAGCTTTCAGAATTTGTGTGGATGAGAGAAGCAGTGTTTTAAGCCGTCTTCCCTTTTATCCACTATTTCCTCTCCTATTATTTGCTTGACAGGGGATTTACATTTGAGTGCATCTCATTTATCAAGTAAGCAGACGTCTCTTTCTTATACAGCGAAACGTCCTGGAGTAACCTCACATCCTGGTGCAATACCTCAAAGTCTGACAGTCATAAACTGGCTGGTAATTCACAATTTTATAACAATTGTAGCCGCTACTCATTACTGCTGGAAGAGCCAAATGCTTTTATGCACACAAGTGCCTGAAGGAGATTAAGAATTTAAGCAGATTAGATTAATGAACTCATGATTGTAATCTAGGGTTAATTCATTTTGCTTTAACCCACTCCTCCCCGCCCCCGGCCCTTTCGACCCCCAGGGCTTGAAGCCTAACTGGTCTGTGGAGTGTGTGTGTGTGTGTGTGTGTTGTTCCAAGCTTTGTATGACTGGTCATTAATTACTGTTGGGCAGGCGCAACACTAATCAGACCCCCTACGATTGTTCATCAACACCCCCGACAGTGCAATAAACCACTCAGTGAGCGTCTGTTTAGATGACAGTAACCGCCACTCCATTGTTGCCTACACTGTACCACTTATTTGTTCGCTCAAGGCAGGTGGTCTTCTTAGTGAGGTCATCGAGTCTGAAACATAAAGCTGGGGGTCCTTGGAGAGGCCATCCTTAACCCTGGGCCCCAACGCAAACAGCACAGAGCTTCTTCTGACTTTCTATTCCTGTAGGCGACTCTGGCTTTTCATTTATTTTAGCCTGCAGTAAATGTTTTGGCTCATGACCCGCTTATCAAGGACAGCTGACATGTTTAGTCCTAACATTTATTGAAAATGATGTTATCTTTAAACAAGTAGATTTGACAGAATTGTCCCTCCTTTTAGAGTGACAGCCCATCCATAGATGGAAGAGAAATGCAGTTTAGTCATTAGAAGGATAAAGTGTATCCTGATCAAAGTAACACACAGAGAATCAGGAAAACTTGTGCTCGGACTACAATTTAAAGAGTGACTGCTCCTTTCAAAGGATGTCCGTGTGTAACTATTTTAAATAAATCTCACAATCTAAATTTAAGGGGTGCATTAAATATTTTATATTATTATTTTTAGTTAATAATAAAATAAATAAAAATTATGACTTATGGGTGGAAAATAAATGAATACAAAATTAATTTCAGTAGAGGAAAATCAGCCTCGTTACAGATTAAAGTCTTATTATGTGCAGTGACAGGAAAGTTGAGCTCACATGGTGTTGATCTGCACAAAGAGCATCTGCTTCATGAACAGTCACAAACATGTGTCGACACATGTAACTGTTTACAGCACACTAACTGAACTTAGTCAAACTCGAGGGAGTATTTAGCGGAGAACAGCTCCACCGTGTGGCAAACAAAAGCACTTTTGTTAAGGTGGATCACGTGCTAATCGTAGGGGTGACCAGATGCCCTTCTTCATGTTGGACTGCACCGCATTTTTTACCCTTTGCGCTCCTGTCACGCATATTGAGACAATGTGCCGCACTTTGACCGGCTCTGCGGGATCAGGATCAGAATACTTTATTGATCCCTGGGGGAAATTTTTTTTGTTACAGTGCTCCATTATAAACCAACATTAAGACAAGACAGACACACTAACTAAGAATAGTACAATATATACACACACACACACACACGCACGCACGCACGCACGTATGTATGTATGTATGTATATAAGTCACTCATAAATAAATAGCTGGAAAAGAAACATGTGTAGTTGTAGCAGCAAACAGTGTGTTAAGTGGATGCGTTGTACAGGGAGATGGCCACAGGCAGGAACGATTTCCTGTGTCGTTCAGTGGTGCTTTTCGGTAAAGTCTGCGTTAAAGTCTGGATTTTTATGCCCAACACTCTAATGCGCTAACTCTGAAACCAATAGGGGGAGAAAGCCACCTAAACGTTACACGCTTTGCAGATTTTGAATCAAATTATCCAACAGAAAATTTAGCCGCAGTTTATATCGTTTTTTTTTTCCTTCTGGATAATTTCATTAGTTTCACACAAGGAAAAATGTGGCGTAAAGTGACACTACACGTGTCTCTTAATTGGCTAGAAAAATGCTAACGTTGGCTCAGTAAACATTGCATAGATGATGAAATCTAATGATGATTAACAGACAGGAGAAATAACATGACATAAAGTTCAGATCCGCTTCATCCTTATTTTATTTACTTAGCAAGACAGTTGCTTTTAAATGCCATTTATTTGGCCTTTACATGCAAACCCGCACAGTACCTCCCTGTATTGCCAACATGTCCCACATGGTCCCACAAAAACACCGTTTTTAAATGTTCAAATGTAAATAGTAGTACTGATCTGTAGGAGAAATGCTACTCGTAGCAGTACAGCTTGTGTTGGGGGGAAAAACTACATTTCCCATGAAACCGAGTGGCTTACACGGAAATGACGCAACAGGCACAGCTTCTGTCAAGGGCAACGGAAACTAACGCCGGCTAAGGCTAGCAGCGGCTGTTTGCACGTGTATTGGAAGAAGCTCCGCAAAGGTGAGTTTGAAGAACACGACTGAGGCGGAAATGGACGGCTTTGGTTCAGACTTCTCAGCAGGAGGGTCCGGCGGGAAAATGGACACCGGTACCATCATGGAGCAGGTCAAGGTCCAGATCGCGGTGGCTAACGCTCAGGAGCTGCTGCAGGTAGATCAATGAACACGGCTGCTAAGCTAGCAAGCGCACATTGAGGCTCAAAGAAGTGCTGAGTGCTTTTATCCTCACGGGTCAGAGCTACACAGCTTTACAGTAGCTTCGTTTTTCGTTCTGTGTGTAAGACTGTTTTATTTTTTAGCCCGCAATAACTTCCATAAGGTTGATGGATCCTGGCAGCATGTAAATACATGGCTCATATAAACACACGAGCCAGCACTGAAATGCTGCCGACACAAAAAGATCCTTTTGAGCCACAACGTTGGAGGGTCTTTTAATACATCTGGGTTTTTTAAAAGTCATGCAAATATTCTGCGCTGCTGCTGTCAGAGTAGTAAATGCTAATAAAACACTGTTTCTATTTCAGAGAATGACCGATAAATGCTTCAAGAAGTGCATAGGCAAGCCTGGAAGCACACTGGACAACTCTGAGCAGGTATGCACTGGCTGAGTCGCTTCAGTGATGCCCTGCTGCCCAGAGCAAAGAAGTGATCACGTTTTAAGAAAGCAGGAGGGCATAACAAAAGTGCTGCAGGGCTCTAAGGCTTACCTGACAGGTGCTTTTGAGTGGGGCATGCGCAAAAACATAAGGTGCTGCTGAGGTACTGCATCATCTTGTAGAATAATATATCAGGTTTATCGTAGGATAAGGTGGACCAACATGTATCCACTCCTGAGTCTTCATCAGTGTCTCGTTTCCAGGTTAGAGTTGATCTGCGTTGGTCTATCTCTCTGCAGAAATGCTCCTAGCATGCATATATATATATATAAACATTTTTTGGTATTAATCACAGTTTTAAGTCGGTTAAAGTCTTTGTAGACCACGAGTGGTTTATTTCTCTGGACTCTTTTTGCTTTGTCCCTAACAGAAGTGTATCGCCATGTGTATGGACCGCTATATGGACGCCTGGAACACCGTGTCCCGAACATACAACTCCAGACTGCAGCGAGAAAGAGCTCGCATGTGAACTCTCTTCATCTTTCCCTTCTTCAGGCTGCTGCACACAGCGAGGGCCGATGCAGTGCTCTGCAGGAGGGCCCGCGCCGTGCACGACTTTGTCACGCAGCGGCGCAACATCTGTCACAGTACCTCTGACAGGCAGAGCACAGCCTGTGGACTGCAGCCATAACGGTGTCTCTGTGGACAGTTTTTATTTTGCTCTGAGGAACAGTTCACTACCAATGTTAAATCGATTGTGTGTTTTACGTTAGAAATATAATCAGTCATCTTCTGCGGGTTCTTGCCATGCTGATTGGAAACACTAAATTACCTGCTTAGGTGTGAATGGGTTTTAAAGTGTTTGCTGATGCTGTGGCAGGAGGCGGAGCCTGCTGTGCTGCTATAAGGACTCCAGGTGCAGTTTGGCTCAATAGGCCCAGCTTACTTCCTGTGACTCATCTCCCTGCCCATCGAATGCTTCTGCCTGTAATACCAATAACAGTAAACGTCTCCCAGTCACTGCAGACTCTCCTTTAAACACTGCTTCACATTCTTTGCCGGGTGATTGTGCTTAGAGATTAAATATTTCCTGGAGCCTTAAAGGAAAAAAGTGCTTAAAAATCATCAGGAAGAATTGAAGCGCTTTGGTGTTTTCACCAGCATGAATTTGACATTTCCAAGCCTCCAAACAGACCTATATCAAAGTACGCCTGGAGAACAACACTGTTTTGTCTGACGTGTTTTCTGGTTGTCACTCTATCTGCTGCCCTCCACAGTAGTGGGTTTGTTCCAGCGGGGTCTCCCTCGCCCTGACGGGGTACTGCACCTTTCTCAGCTTCGTGTGTGTGCGGTTTGTTGGATGTCTGGGAACCTCCTGAGTTTGTGTGAGGAGCCAGAAAAGCTGTGAACATCATTTGCAATCAGTGATTTTTTTTTTTCCCCCCCAAGAAAAAATAATAAATTAATCAATCAGGTGTTCTCTCGTTTCTGATCAAAAATATCCACCAACAGAACGACACCGAGTCCCACGTCACTGACTTTGTACAGAGTAGACTTTCCCCACAAATCCACGTTGCAGTAAAAGATCACAATACGCTTACATTTACCCATAAATGAATCCCATATTGTCCACACAAAATACACAAAGCCACGTGCTGTGTGTTTACCATCCATGACAATAAATAACTAATAAATACTCCAAATGATCCGTGAATGAATGTTTAAGGCACAGATCAGGATTGTTTCCTCAGTTCAGGTAAAGCACAGCACTACCGCCAGCACCCGTGACCGGAGGGTCACAAAGGTCAGGGCTGTGTACACAGTGTTTGTGTGTGGCTGTTTAGCATGACCTCAGTTCTCTGCAGACACAGTTCTTCCTTCATCAGAAGGGAAGGTATGTGGATATCCAGCTCCTGATAGACGTCACACGAGTGTAAACTCCCGGGAAACCGACTCGGCCGCATCCGTGTCCCCAGCTGGTTACTCCAGCGATAAACCACTGACCGGAGGGCTGACGACACGTCAGCGGCCCTCCAGAGTCTCCCTGCAATATCAAAACACATCAACAGTTTCATTTGGAATTTAAATAACTTTAAATTCTATATAAATGTGCTCTATAAATACACATTTATAGAGCAGACTGAAGATGAGTATGGCAGCAGGGGAGTAAATGTCAGTCAGTCTGCAGCTGAGCTCGGTGCTCTGACCGAAACAGGAATGCGTGAGGGTTTCGTTACATAAGACGATTATGGAGAGGGTGCAGCGGGGTGGCCTGCCTTCGCTGAGGAAGACAGCGTACATTTTCTATCAGGTCACATTTTCTAGATTTATTCTTTTTGGAGTTTTTTCTCTTACATCTGATTCTTGTCTTTAAACCTTAATTTATTCGTCAGCCTTTTTCCAAAGGTGAACCAGAGAAGCCTGTAAGGGGGGAGATCAAGGTTGACTTTGCTCCGGCCTGGTTAACCATTCACTGTAAAGACACCACAGTCATACTTCCTCCAGCCTCCGAGCACTGCATGCAGTGCACCAGCCTGATGTTAAAAGTCTGCAGGTTAGGAACTTTTTAACGATTGTGAGACAGGAAGTGCAGAAGTCTGTGTGAACATCTTACCAAGCAGGTGTCCCGACCTCCCGCCATGAATCCCGCACACATCATGTTTGAAGTCAGAACGCTACCGTATGATTGCTGACAGTCCGTCTGGTCAATGATGTTCACAGCAGCTTTCTGTAGCAGGTTGGTCAATGAACCTGAGGAAAGAGCATTGCACACAGAACAGGTGTGATCGCAACACCTGAGCACCAGTGTTTTTGTTGCTGTGGAAACAAAATTCCATTCAGAGGCAGATAAGGCAGACGCTAAGCTGATAAAGGCTGCAGTCATATCACATTCACTCGTGAAAGGCCGAACAGGCCACGGATCACGGAGCTATTCCTGCTTTTCTACCTCTGAAGGCTGAGTCACGTCAATAACGTGAAAATGATCTCACCTCTCGGGCTCTCCTGCCTTTATTTCTTAGTAAAGACATTTCATTCTTTTCCTGTGTGACCTCTAAATGCAGGACGTTTAGTTTCGTGGGTTCATCTCTCACCTCCCTCTCTCATGGATCCCCACCCTGTGATGTAGCACTCTGCGCTCTTTAAGAAGCGGTGTACTGGTGATGGAAGACAGACAGACTGGATGGTGTAAGACATCGGGGCTGGGACGGCCAGCTCCAGCAAAGCCACATCGTGGTCCATGTTGGTGCCATTAAAGGCCGGGTGGATGATTACCCTCTGGATGGGAACGACCAGGGCTCCTACCCCCGATCGCAGCACAGATCCCAGGCTCACGGCCCAGTTATTGGGAGTAGAGTCACTTTAGATGTAAGTTATTAATATTAGAATCACTCCTGAGCTTTCAGTGAAACGAGTTTTGATATAAATGTATGAAATACCTTTTGAAGCAGTGCGCTGCAGTCAGCAACCACCTATTGTGAATGAGCGTGGCACCGCATCTGTGAAGCCTCTGGTACTGAAGACTCCCGATCCAAGGCCACTCTCCCCTCCGAGCTGTGACTCCACCCACGATCCTATGGGAGCCCAGCGCAGGGCGCACGCCGCAGTCTTAAAAAACCAAAAACCAAAACGCAGTTAAGAAGAATGACCCGTAAGTCCCTCATGCTCCGTGCTTCATGCATTTTAAGTTTACCACAGTTTCTTTCATCAGCCCCATTGGGACAGTCTGCGGCTCTGTCACACTCCGGGTTGACCTTGCTGATGCAGGAAGTGGAGCTACACTCAAAGTTTCCACTGCAATTCAAGGCTGGAAAAAACACATTCATTAAATAAATGAATCTCAGTAACCGATAAAGCTCTTAAGATTAAGGAGCTTTCAGGCTGACATTACCAGACAGTGGTAGCACTGCTGCAGACGACACGTTATCAGCTGAGGTCCCGAGTGCTGGTGGGGTATTAAACTCTGTCACTGTGGGAACATGCTGGCCATAATCATGAACCGAGGTGGGATCAGTCTGGCTTAGAATCCAGTTACGGAGCCTGGTAACGCGGGAATAAACCCCAGGTCTGTTGACCTGAGCGCAGCCCACACCCCAGCTCACTATCCCGGCCAGGAAGAATCTTCCCGGGGCCCCCTCGCACACCAGAGGTCCTCCGGAGTCCCCCTGCACATGACACACATGAGCTGACAGATACTCTGAAAAGTGTCATTTTTGGTAACTTTCAACTATTCAGCATCAGGTAATCCGTCCTGGTTGGTCAGGATTAGCATCATTAGGCTCATCACCACGATTTTAAGCATCAGCTCTGAACCTTGAAAGTCACGGAGCTACTGGGAGATATGTCTCAGAGCATGTTGTCTTTATCAGGGAGACGACACGACAGAAGGGGCACGACATGTACGACTGTCAAATATCAGCTGCTGGAATTCACAGCTATTGCTTTAAATGTTGAAACAATTATGTAATAAGTGCATTTTACACATTCTTAAAGTTCATATTTTGGTCCAAAGAAGTAACATTTTACGTACAGAGAGATAAAATTTCCAAAACGTGTTCGATCATTTATGCAACATCAGATATTTTGAAGTGGATTTCTTTCAGACTGAGCCTCTCACGGTATAATCAACAGCACACGGTTATGCTGAGATGAACAGATGGCTCAGAGTCTCCGTTTTTAAGGTGAGAACGGTGTGAATATTTTTAGCGATCCTCAGACCTTCATAGGTCATAGGTCATAGGTATAGACATGCCCCACTGCATGTGAACCGTTTTCACCACTGACCTGACACGAGTCCACCTTGCCCTGCAGGAATCCAGCACACATCATGTTTGGAGTGATCGCTCCTCTGTACACAGATGACTTATTGCACACCTTGGAGTCAATGACTTTGACCACAGCTTTCTGCAGCGTGGAGGGCAGCGTGACTGCAGAAGAACACACGACACACTGATTACTCCCACTTGTCATATTTCACCTTAAATGACAAGACGACAGCTTTCAAGAACAAGTTTTTAGGATTTTCTTTTCTAAATGACTCGTCTGCGTTTTGTGTGCATTCCTGCAGACTCACAGCTAAACTGGTGTACGGCACCCCAACCGGACACAATGCAGCTCTGACCAGGTGCAAAAACATGAGATGGGGAGGGTATGCAGACAGGCTGCACGTAAGAGCTGAACGCGAGAGGCGTCTCCAGCTCCAGCACAGTTACATCATTGTCCGTGGTCATGGGGTTGTAGTCTGGAGACACAGTTATGGACTTGATGTTAATCGTTCTGGACTCTGGCTCCTCACCGCTCACCAGCGTCGCCCCAACCAGGGCTGTCCATTCTTTGGGGTTATTGACCCTAAAACCAGAGGAGGCAATCATAAATGATGGTGTATATTCATGAAATGGGATTGTTGTTTCTTAAGGACTTTTCTAGCATTTTTTCAAAAGCCAGAACAGAATATTTGATCAAAAACAGAAAAAACTGAAAATCATTTCCAGGCTCGTGTGCAGATGTGTCCTAATACTGATTTATTGCAGGACAGCACATGAGGAAATGTGTTTTATGTAACTGTTTGCAAAGTGGTGAAAGAAGCATCATAGTCCTGTTTAAGTAATAGTGGGAAAACCTAAGGATCAAAACATTGCTAAAGTAAAAGTACCCAGAAACATATACATCACAATTAATGATGACGTAATATGCAAATTTATTTAATGGTGCACTGGTAGATAACTTTATTACTCGTGTACTGCTGGGTATCTTTATCAGTCTTGCCCTGCCTTACCTCTCTGAGCCTCATCCCCACGCACCAGCTGCTCCAGGGGGCGGGGCCTTTTCTACATTATGAAATAACCTGACCTTGCAGTTAGAGAGGCCGCTTCACCGTCCACTTTCAAAACATGTCTTCAAACCTATTTTTATTCTTTGGCTTTTGACCTCAGTGAGACTTAGTTTCTCTTGTAATTAAATTAGTTATTTATTTAATTATTTTATTTTTGCTTTTATTTATATCTTATGTAATCGTATTATTTAGTTCAAATGTACAGCACTTTGTGTCAGCTGTGGTTGTTTTATAAATAAAGGTTATGACGATGATGATGTACCAACGAGGCAAATACTAGTAGACGTGTGTTTGAAAAACAATTTATAATTAAAGCTTTAAAATGAATAGCATGGACAACCACG